ATAATCAACCAGTAGAAACAAAGAAAAGCAACACACCGCCAGTATTCAGTTCGTCATCATCGTCGCGAAGCTCACGAGGCTCTGACGAGCGACCAGTATTACTACCAGTTGAAACACAACCCACGCCACCAATTAGTTTACACTCATCACCACCAATTAGTATACATTCATCGCCACCAGTAAGTGTACGAAGTTCTCGTTCCAATACAATAGAATATGTACCTAGCTCTAGTTCAAGTTCTAGCAATAGGACAGTGCAATATCTAAGCTCAGGGAGTTCTTCACGTAGAACATCCCATGTGTCAATAAGTTCATAATAACATTGAATAAATGAATATTTACTTTAAAGATTTTTGGGTTCAAAAAACAAAAATACTTAAAGAAATATTCACATTTATAATTAAAATGAGTAGCTATTTTGTTGGTAATGATGGAATACAAACTCAAATAAGTTCAGATTTGTTTGATGTTATGTGGAACAGCATAGAAGAAAATGAAGAACAGGAAGTAAAATCACAAAAGGACAAAAAGAAAGAACATAATGATAGACTAAATAAACTAAACAGGGAAAACGGTTATTTTAAGAAATATTTCAAAGAAAATGATAAATCTTTTGAGTGTGATAGATGTGGATGTATTATTAGTAGTTCAACTAACAAGTCAAAGCATATGAAAACAAATAAATGTAAAATGCTATATAAAGAAAGACAAGAAAGAGAGATGGAAGACAAAATAATAAGGAAAATATTGTATGGTAATTAAAAAAAAAAACATAATTAATATTAATTTTTCTACTTAATATTAATTATGAGTAAAGAACAGGATGAAATTCTGGAGAAAATATACTATGACCTTGAACGTGGTTATGGTTCTGTTCGTAATCTTTATGAAGAAGCAAATAAAGATGGTGCAGGTGTTAGTTTAAACTATGTGAAGGACTGGGTTAAAAAACAAACAATTAATCAAAGAAGAAATTATAAAAAGTATAACAGTTATTCAGCACCATATGCTAGGGCAGTTTATCAGTTGGACATTATGGACATGGTAAGCTTAATGAAGGACACAGACACTTTTAAGGAAGGGTATAAAAGGTATGCTTTATTATGCATTGACATTTTTAGTAAGAAGATGCACATTGTACCCATGCAAAACAGAGACGGTGAAACGGTGTTTGATGCATATATGGAATGCTTTAAGGTTTTAGGATATCCAGAGTCAATTTATACTGATGATGACGGTGCTTTTAATTATAAAAAGTTACAAGACTGGTTGAAGGGCGAGGGTATAAATCATGTAGTAACTTTGACACATGCTAACGTAGCAGAGAGAGCCATCAGGACGATAAAAAAGATGATTGGAGACAGAGCATTAGTGACTAAGGGTGCGTGGACAATTTTACTAAAACCAGTGCTTGATAAGTACAATAAAACCATGAAACACTCAACAACGGAAATGACACCGAACGAGGCACACAAAGATGAAAACGTTGTAAACGTCAAAGCTAATTCAGTATTGAAAGAAAAATATTTAAGAAAATATCCTAAAGTTGACGTTGGTGATAAGGTTAGAATATTTGTAAAAGGAAAAGGTAACTACAGCAGTCGCAAAGAATCTCGTAACCAGTGGAGCGAACAAACACACACGGTTCAGGAAATAGGTAGAGACCTTCAACTTAACAAGCATTATATCCTAGAAGGTAAATCTAAAAAATACAATAGACATGAAATATTATTGATAGATTAGGGCTTAAAGAGAAAGGGAACTATAATATATTATGGACGAAGAAAACCATATGAAACCGAATAAATACCATCAAGGCAAAATCTGTGCCATAAGAAATAATAAAGATGATGACGTTTATATTGGGAGCACGACCCAGCAACTAAGTAAAAGATTTAATGACCATAAAAAGAACCTTTTAACGAGTAAATGCGAGAACTATAGGATATATCAAAAAATGCGTGAGTTAGGTGAGAACAGTTTTTATGTGGAACTTGTTGAAAACTGTCCATGTGAAACAAAAGAAGAGTTAAGAAGAAGAGAAGGACAAGTAATTAGAGAACAGGGGACATTAAATTCACAAATAGCGGGGAGAACAAACAAAGAATATTATGATGACAATGTAGAAACATTGAGGCAAAATAAGCGAGAATATCATCAGAATAACAAAGATAAAATAACGCAGTATCAAGAAAACAACAAAGAATACATTAAGGAAAGGGCTCAGAAGTATTATGAAAAGAATAAAGAACATTTAAATGAAGTATCGCGAGAATATCGTAAAGCAAATCCTGAATACTTTAGACAAAAGAAAGTTGAATATAGAGAAAAACATAAAGGAGCAATTCGCCAAAGAGCGATGGAAAAGAAAGAATGCCCAAACTGTGGTGTATTTGTTAGGAAAGGTGGAATGAATAGACATATGAAAACTGATAAATGTAAAACATGTACAAAGGAAATAACAGAGAACACCACATTTGCAACACTTTATAGAATTATGCATCAATAATCAAACTGAACCAACCATAATATTATTATTAAATATAATATAATGGTTGAACGATCCTAAAAGTACTTAAAGACAAAACGCCTTAGTATATTAAGTGAAATATGGATTATACAAATCTGAACTCATATAAGATCCAAATGAAGTATATCAAGAAGATATATGAAATTAAATTAATTGAAGTAGATTATTCAAATAAAATTAAGGAGTTATGTAAGTTGCTTAAAGTTTATGAAAGTGTCTTTGACGAAGAAGATGTCTTGAATGTTAGGCGTGATATATCTATTTTAGAAGGTAAGATTGAGGAAGATAAACAATTAATTAAAAAATATTCAGAACTGATTGAGAATATTGAAATACTATGTCAGAATGGAGGAGACAAGGAAGCTAAATATCTAGATAAAAAACCTAAACATGCTGTCAAATGGATTAATATTAGTATTCAACAAATAGAAGAAGATTACAATGATTTATTAAAATAACAATGGCAACTATAATATAATATTATGTTAAATTATATTATATTATCGTTGAACAACAACAAAACCCCAGAAAAGCCCAAACTCCGAACAATTCCCGAACCAATATTTACCATATGATGTTATAATCTATGAACCACGGAAGAATACCGAAACAAGAAGTGGAAAATAACGAATGAGGAGACAAGAAACAAAATGTAAGGAAAAGTAATATGTGTAGAAATGGAAACGTGAGAGGTGGAGCAAATACTTAAATGAGATGTACCGGAACTGAGGCTAAGCAGAAAACAGAGGAGATGAGCAAAAAGTGAGCAAGAATGAGAAAACGAACGAGATGAGATGAACTGAAAAACGTGAAAGGGTAAGACAACAGGGGTGAGAAAGTCAATGACCCTAGAAGTGAAAACGAAACAGGTGCAACGAATGGAGAAAAGTTAGGATGCAATGAGAAAAAACAAAGAATGAAAGAGGCGGGGCAACCCTAAACCCATTGACCCTTCAATCCCCCTTTCCACTATTTTTTTCCCCCCCCCCCCCCGCCCGCGCCTCGCAGCAGTACGCCTCCCATGCCTGGAAGCGACTCACTCGGCTGCTACTCTCTGCGTGTTTAGGAACCTTACCAACACTGCACCCATACTGTGCAGTCTGCCACATACTCTGCTATACGGGCTTGGCTTCGCGAGTGAAACACCAAAATAAGGCCGGTCTTCATGCCTTCTTGTGTATTGGGCCTTCCCCACTCCCCCCCACTCCCCAGGATGTGTTTTGTGAGGACTTAGAATCCCCACAATCAAGCCGATAAAGGGCCTTGTTAAGGGGGGTTATGGCGTATAGCCCATCATGGTTCCTTTGATGTTGCAACACGTGGCTTGAGCTGGAAACCGCCTCTTTGGTTGACAACCCAACAAACCCCGCCAGGGTGGTCGTTGCCAACATTTTAACCCTAAACCCTAAACCCTAAACCTAAACCCTAAACCCTAAACCCTAAACCCTAAACCCTAAATCCTAAACCCTAAACCCTAAACCCTAAACCCTAAACCCTAAACCCTAAACCCCAACCCCACAAACGATGGGGCGCTAAGCCACCGACATTGGTCACTCGAAACTCGCAGTTCTTGGTGGCACATTGCAGCACCTGGCGTGATGGACCGGTGAGTCCCCTGCCCTACTCTCCTTATGTTCTCATAGCCTTAGTGGGTCATATCATCATAAAGGGTGTATATATTCATATATAATATGACTCTTACTTAAAGAACCCCCTACTAAGGCAACTCAAACCGAAGTTTCCTGAAGAAGAACCCACCCACTAGCTGCGGGCAGTATGGACATCACTGAGTCGCTCTGAAGACGTAGCCCATGGCGTTTGTTTCCAGAGGACTTGGCACACGCAACCCCGAGGGTCAGCTGGCGTCAGGATGATCACAACCGATGAGAAGTCGTGATGAGGTAGGAGATCCCCTTGCCCCTGACATTAGAGTATATGGGGGGGTGTGTTTAATACTGGGAGTTTAATATGTTGAGGGGATACTGGCAGTCATCAATGAAGTCCTCCCGACGTGCTCCGCGGCCTCTTTGAGGCAAGCCGGGCATAAAGCAGGCAGCCCTCGTGAGCCACGTGCAAGGCGCGTTTTGGGTAGGCCACCCTTCGTGATTTGGGTGGCATAATGGGGGGGGGGGGACAGACACACTGTCACTGAGTCACTTTCCGAACCGGCTGCCGGATATTTTCGGCAGCCAGAAAAGAGCGGAAACTGACTAAGCTAAGTCATACTTATGCCTACTTGGTAAGCGCACAGGGAGCGACCTGGGCTTTGCATCTGCAGCTGCTCTTTGGCCACACATGCAGCTTCAGCGCGCTACCTCCTGCGACACCACCTGCCTTGCAGAAGACACGACTCACCACAAAAAACATCATGCTGTTCACATGTGGATAGTTTCTTAGCGGAGCTTTCTGTCTAGCGTCTGGCGGCAAGATCGTGTTATTGCCCAAGTGTGGTCGTCGTAAGCTAGAGCAGCTACCACGTCAACATGTGCCAGCGCCAGCCAAGTTGCACGCATATGTCGGAGAAGTCCTCCTCGGGTACCACATGCCGAGCCTTCCGCTTTGGCCTGAGAATGAACTAAGCATGACCAACCTCATGAGTGATCAGAATTATGATTGTTCTTGTTACTGGTACAATGGCTCTTGTTCGTACTATTGCTATTACTACCTGTACTAATTACTGATTTATACTTGGGTGTTGGTGGCTCGTGGCTCCGCACCTGGGAGTTTTCAGGCGCGAGGGAGTTCCCGCGCGAGCAGCCCATGGTCGAATCCGCGGCGACGACGGCCGCTGCAGCTTCCAGATGGCCAAGCCTTGAAGCGGACGTGGCGCACGAAAGCATTTCCTGTGGCCCTACAGAGCACACACACCCTAAACCCTAAACCCTGAATCCCAAACCCCCAAAGCCCTAAACCCTAAACCCTAAGCCCTAAACCCTAAACCCTCCACGTCTTACCATGTAACCGAGCACCCTCAGAGCTGCAAGCAAACTCACTCGGCGCCTGCACTGGTGTGTCGGCCAAAGACCTCGAGAGTGGAGGGGGGGGAAAGCAAACTAGAAGAGGGATGGCCCGAAAGCATCGATTTGCCGTGTGTTAACTCCATGCACTTGACTCTTTGCACTCGAACTGTATGCACTTTGACAAGCGTTTGCACGTATATGGTTGCATACTCACTTGTATACTGCACTTGTATACTGGACGTATGCACTTGAACTGCATGGCATTCAAGTGTGTTGAGTTGAATGCCATGCACTTGTGGTCAACTCTATAAACTTCATTGGAATTCTCTACATATGAGGTTAACGGACTTGAACTCGACACTGTTGAACTCAATGCACTTGAGCAAGTGTAGGAACATGACTTGCATGCACCCGACTCGGCTTTATTTGCGAGGTTTGCGGGCGCTCGGAATTCCGCTTCCATGCTATTTGCGATATTTTCAAGCATGCGGAATTCCGCTTCCATGATATTTGTGAGGTTTTCGCGCACGCGGAACTCCGCTTCCATGCTATTTGCGAGGTTTTCAAGCATGCGGAATTCCGCTTCCATGTTTTTTGCGATGTTGCTGGGCACGCGGAATGCGTACTACGTTTGTACTACAAAAGTCGACTGTCCAGCCACGGAAGCTCCGGGCATCCCCGGCGTGCTACATTTTACTACAAAAAGTCGACTTTCCAGCCACTGAAGCTCCGGGCGTCCGCGGCGTACTACGTTTGTACTACAAAAGTCGACTTTCCAGCCACGGAAGCTCCGGGTGTCCCCAGCGTACTACGTCTGTACCTTAAAAATCGACTTTCCAGCCACTGAAGCTCCGGGCGTCCGCGGCGTACTACGTTTGTACTACAAAAGTCGACTTTCCAGCCACGGAAGCTCCGGGTGTCCCCAGCGTACTACGTCTGTACCTTAAAAATCGACTTTCCAGCCACTGAAGCTCCGGGCGTCCGCGGCGTACTACGTTTGTACTACAAAAGTCGACTTTCCAGCCACGGAAGTCCCCGGCGCACTACGTCTGTACTACAAACGTCGACTTCCCAGCTACGTCGGAGTACTACAAAGGACGTTCGGTCACAAAGAAAACGCAAAAACACGACGGTTTTGGCACCGCAACCACGCGGAAACCCTTTGTTGTCAAAAAATGCAAAAACACGAGGGTTTTGGCACCGCGCCAACGCCGAAACCCGCAGAGGGTTGACGCGGACACGAAAAAATGTGCAAAAAACGACGGCGATTGCCCGCAGAGGGTTGTCCGCGGCCAGAAAGAAACGTAAAAAAACGACGGTTGTAGCACCGCGACCCGGCGATTACCCGCAGAGGGTTGTCCGCGGCCAGAAAGAAACGTAAAAAAACGACGGTTGTAGCACCGCGACCACGCCGAAACCCGCAGAGGGTTGTCCGCGCACAGCAAGAAACGTCAAAAAACGATGGTTTTAGCACGGCGACCATGCCGAAACCCGCAGAGGGTTGTCCGCGCACAGCAAGAAACGTCAGAAACGACGGTTTTAGCACCGCGACCACGCCGAAACCCGCAGAGGATTGCAATCCCGATTGACGACGTCAACCCAGCCCGCCGCCTTAAAAAGAGTAATTTTAATTAAGAAATGTAGGACTGGGTACGAAGGTCTACCAAATTCTACCAAAATCTCAAAAATTCTATTAAATTGTTTAAATTGTACGAAAATCTCGTGAATTATACTCTATGCACTTCACTCTATGCACTTAACTCTGCGCACTTCACTCTATGCACATCACTCTATGCACTTAACTCTGCGCACTTCACTCTATGCACTTGACTCTCTACACTTCACTCTATGCACTTCACTCTATGCACTTAACTCTTTGCACTTCACTCTATGCACTTGACTCTATGCACTTGACTCTCTACACTGCACTCAATGCACTCCACTCTATGCACTTAACTCTATGCACTTCACTCTATGTACTTAACTCTATGCACTTGACTCCATGCGCTTCAGTCTGTGTTGTTGGGTCAGAGGGCTCCGCACGGAAGAACCCTTCGCGATGCTTTAGGGAAAACTGCAACACCGAAGCTACAAAAAGCATAACAACATAGCAATAGATACGAACAGAATACTGTAACAACAGGATGATCTAATATGTTACCAGAATACTACAGTACCGTTACTGTAACAACAGAAAAACCTAACAAGATAATGAATCTGCCCGTAGAATACTGTCATAATTCAGTACGAAAAAGACAGAATAGCCTAACAAGACAATAATCCCACTGGTCTCTTCCATTTGCTTAAGAACCCACCGAAAAAGTCTTCCTTTCAAGGGAAACATAGGGATGACAATGATCTTGTACTTACTTTTTTTTTGGGGGGGGGGGGGGGGTGCTTAAGCAAATAGCAGATATATAATGGGAAATCTTACACTAACAGTCCTTGGTAGGGATTATCATGGAAGGGTACGACAATCCCGATTAAGGGCTGTTCCTATCAGAAGGGAACATCCCAAGGTAGTTACATGGTTAGTATGGAAAGGGTATCCCTTATATACCCCTATTTCTACCCTAGGGCCCATACATCAGAACCCGTTTAAGGGACCATATTAAGGGCCAAGATACAAAGGGGGCCAAGATACAAATGGGGGTTTACGAAATAGGGGATCCCAACATAGACCCCCAAATAGTAGGATCCCTTGATAATAGGGACCCCAATAAGGTACCCCTAATTTCTGAAACCCTAAACCCTAAACCCTAAACCCCAAACCCTCAACCCGCAACCCTAAACCCTAAACCCTAAACCCTAAACCCTAAACCCTAAACGCTAAGGAGTTCAAGAGAGCTCTAGAGCTGGTGCCTTCCAGAGGGAGGAGAGGCCGATGCGCTCGGTCTTCGCGGCACCTCCGGGGCCTCACGCTTAAAGGACCGGGAGGGTTTAGGGCATAAACGGTTTAGGGTTTAGGGTATAGGGTTTGGGGTTTAGGGTTTGGGGTTTAGGGTTTAGGGTTTCGGGTTTGGGGTTTCGGGTTTAGGGTTTAGGGTTAGGGTTTAGGGTTTGAGGGCGGCGCGAGGACAAAACAGCACAGGGTGTAGGGTTTAGGGTTCAGGGTTGAGGGTGTTGCTTGCCCTAACTTGCACTTGTCCGACTTAGCCCCTGCAATCTCTCCACCCTCTCCCTCAACTGCATGCCAGAATGCCACCCTAAACCCTAAACCCTAAACCCTAAACCCGCAACATGGAACGCCGCCTCGAAGGCTGGAATTCTTGCCGGCGCTCGCCAGCGACGTCTTGGAGCTGCTGCTTTGTGGCCGGCCTTGGCAGAGATATGTCCCAACCACCAAAAAGGCAATTGCCAACCCTAAGCCCTCAACCCCAGACCCCTAAACCCTAAACCCTAAGCCCTCAACCCCAAACCCTAAACCCTAAACCCCAAGCCCTCAGCCCTAAACCCCTGAAACCTCAACCCGCAAACCCGCAACCCCCACCGAGGGCAGGGCAAGTTGGAGGGGAGAGTGATCGCTTGGCCCGGTGGCTCCTGTTCACCGGCTTGCCCTGGAGAACAACCTGAGCAGGGCTCCAAGGGCTAAAGGGCGCAATCTTGGGCTTAGGGTTTAGGGTTTAGGGCTTGGAGTTGGGTTTAATTAATTAGGGTTCAGGGTTCAGGGTTCAGGGTTCAGGGTTTAGGGTTTAGGGTTTAGGGTTTAGGGTTTAGGAGAACAACCTTATCAGGGCTCCGATTTTGGGCTCCCAGGGCTGTAAGAGTGCAATCTTGAGTTCAGGGCTTGGGGTTTGGGGTTTGGGGTTTAGGGTTTAGGGTTCAGGGTTTAGGAGTGGAATGGAACGAACCGGCGACCCGGCCCAACCTGCATGCGCACGTCGTGCTTGCTCATGTTCTTCCTGGGCAGAAACGGGCGCAAAGAACGTCTCAAATATCTATATGGGTGGCTGTCACGAATTATGATCCCTTTTGGGGTACCCTAAAATATTAGGTGCCGTATTATAATCGGATGACCGTAAAGAAGCAAATTTAGATACAGATTCCTGGACTCACAGCCACATCAGCACCCTGATAAGAACATAACTTGACAACACTTGCTGAATAAACAAAAGCACAGACCATGTACTTAGCTTGGCTTCCCACTAACCATATTCTGATGTTTTTTTGGGTTAATTAATGTTAACCTAGTATTACTAAAGCCCCTAACATTAAAGGGGGGGTGGGGTTTATTATTACTAGGTCAACATTAGATAATTTATAGGGGAACCTTGAAGGGTACCACTGGGCTACCAAGTCATAATGAAAAAACGCTGACCCTGCTCCGAAGCCCAGGCGTCTTCTCCGCCAGAAGCTCCAAGGCCACTTCGAAGGCAATCACATCAATGGTGCGTTGGCCTGGAAGCCCCCTAAACCCTAAACCCTAAAACCCTAAAACCCTAAACCCTAAAGCCCTAAAGCCCTAAACCCTAAACCCTAAACGGAAGTTTTTGGGGAATTCGGGGAGCCTCCCCCCTCAGAAAAGTCTACAAGTGACCCACCTCGCGCACACGGGCGGAAGGACCCGAAGACCGAAAGCTAAACCCTAAACCCTAGACCCTAGACCCTAAACCCTAAACCCTAAACCATCAACCCTAAACCCTAAACCCTCTGAACCAGCCGGCCTTTGCGCCTGACGCGGGTGTCACAGAAGATGAGGTCGACGGCTGCAGGGTTCAGGGTTGGGCCCAGCAGCTCACAGTCCTGACCATGGGTGCCACCGTTAGGGTTTAGGGTTTAGGGTTTAGGGTTTAGGGTTTAGGGCTTAGGGTTTAGGGTTTAGGGTTTAGGGTTTAGGGTTTAGGGTTTAGGGTTTAGGGTTTAGGGTTTAGGGTTTAGGGTTTAGGGTCCATGTGAGTAACTACAATTTCAGGCATTTGCGGACCTCACAGAGTCGCTGGAAGCTCGTTCCATCCAGCTCCGCACGGCCAGCCCCACCTCACGGCACCCACTCTTGCGGGCAGAGATGCTCCAAATGAGGGTTTAGGGTTTAGGGTTTAGGGTTTAGGGTTTAGGTCCTAGAATTAGGCAGTACGGCACCTTTTTTAACAAAGAGAGACAGAGAGAGAGAGAGAAGGGACAGCAGGGACCCGAACTTAGAGAACTGCCCACAAGCAAAGTTCGGGGTCCCGCCCAGTCTTACGGTCTAGTGCTGTCTGATAAAATGTTCGGGTCCTGCGTAGCCCTAAACCCTAAACCCTAAACCCTAAACCCGAAACCCGAAACCCGAAACCCCGCTGCCGAGGTGCAGAAGTTGTAGAAGGCGGCTTCCAGGCCATCGCTATCACTGGGCGCCAGTATGGCCTTGGCCTTCTCAATCTCTCCTCAGGAGACTCCACGGGGTTTAGGGTTTAGGGTTCAGGGTTCAGGGTTCAGGGTTCAGGGTTCAGGGTTTAGGGTTTAGGGTTTAGGGTATCTCTCCTTAAGACTCCACCACAGCGAGGGGTCGCTCTTGAAATACGACTTGGCGGATTCCCCCCTTAACCTAACAGTCCTTAACTAGGGATGGTACCCCCTATTGTAATCCCTGTTTAGGGAACATCCCAAAATATGATGCTTTAGACCCCCTGCCAAAGGCCATCGACCAAAACCTTGGGCCAATATTGGGCTCATCGAGGGTTTCGGGTTTATGGTATAGGGTTTCGGGTTTAGTGGGTTTAGGGTTTAGGGTTTAAGTCTAGGGTTTAGGGTTTAGGGTTTAGGGTTTAGGGTTTAGGGTTTAGGGTTTAGGGTTTAGGGTTTAGGGTTTAGGGTTTAGGGTTTAGGGTTTAGGGCCTTTAGGGCCATTGGGCCAAGGGGGCGGTTGCCAGCCCCGGTCTTGATCCAGCTGGCGAACTCATCGAAGGACACGTTGCCATCCCCGGAGGCATCCAGGCTGACACCTTAGGACTGGGTTTGGGGTTTCGGGTTTCGGGATTAGGGTTTAGGGTTTAGGGGTTTAGGGTTTAGGGTTTAGGGATTAGGGTTTAGGGTTTAGGGTTTAGGGTTTTGGGGTTTAGGGTTTAGGGTTTAGGGTTTAGGGTTCAGGGGGGGGGGGGGCGTCACGGAAGTATCGCGGTCAAGCTCAGGTGTTGCTGAGCTTCCGGCAAACGTTCCGCACCTTGACACTCTCTCTGATTCCACTCCGCAAAAGAACTTGCAGTAGGAAATGCTAGGTTTTTAATGAAACTCTCATCTTCTCCTGCACAGTGTAAAGAACAAGTGCAGAGAACCAGCGCCTGCCACACATTCTCGCACGACAGGGAAGCTTCATGTTGGCTGTACACGACATGAGAACAGTGCTGCCGCTCACTTCTGAACATACTCCCGCGTCATGGTGTTTCAAGACATTGGGTCCGTTTCTTGGGCCAGAGGTATTTCAGAGGGGACAGGTTGAGCACTAGCAGATTTATTGGCCCCAGGAGGTTCATGCGCAGATATCTGTGGTGTTCATGGCGGACTCCTGCCCGCACATGCCAGCGCAAAGAATGGCGCAAGGTATCTATCTCCATCGGATTCTTTGAGTGCTTCCAGGGCCAGTGGCAACGCAGTTCTGTTGATTTCTCTGTCCTATTTCGGCCTTGCCAACTGCCTTGGGCCTGGAAACCTTTCAGCGTTTTCTTTCATGTCACCCTTCATGGGCGCAAAGAGCTCGATGAGTACAACCAGGCGTAGTGACTAAACACTTAAGGCGTGGCAAGCAAGGTGCGCCAAAAAAGTATAAACCCTAAACCCTAAACCCTAACCCCTAACCCCTAAACCCTAAACCCTAAACCCTAAACCCTAAACCCTAAACCCTAAACCCTAACCCTAAACCTAAACCCTAAACCCTAAACCCTAAAAACCTCGGAGTGAGTTCCCCCACCTCTTCGCTCGTGAGGGAGCCCAAGTTTTGGAGTGCTTTCGCCAACTCCTGAGGTGAAATCGCAGGACCCTCTAAAAGAAAAAAAGGGTTTTAGAGTTTAGGGTTTAGGGTTTAGGGTTTAGGGTTTAGGGTTTAGGGTTTAGGGTTTAGGGTTTAGGGTTTGGGGCTTAGGGTTTAGGGACAACGGGGAGGGGGGGGGGGGGGGGGAGGAGGCGGATCGTTCCATGCAGACATAGTGTCTGCAAATCCTGCATTGAGCCCACAGGAAGGCATTGATGGTGTACGGAGGCATGCGTAACAGATCTGGAATTCTGAGATTGGATTAGAGAAATCCGGAAATAGGACTCCAGAAAAAAGCCTACACGGTCAACGTCAAGCCCTGGGCCCCTGGGCAGTGCAATCAACTCCAGCGGCTCTAAGGCCTCTAAGGGGTCCAGGGCTACACTCAGGAACAACAGATCGCAAAGCATCTTACGTTGCTTTGCATGACGGAGACGACGGCGATCGAGTATGAAGGGGCCCGAAACCCAACCAGCACACACACGCAGACAAAGAGTCACTCCTCTGCACAGTCTGAAAGATGAAAGAGCAGATGCAACAAGAACTCGACCAGAAGTCCTGCATGTCGAGACATCCCTCGCCATCCGTGTCGTACTTGTCGAAGGTCTGCCTGCCACGACATGTTGTCCAGAGAGAGCCCCAAACCCTAAAGCCTAAACCTGAAAATCTCCTCAAAAAGCTGCATTCCCCCCCCCCCCCCCCCACTCCCCTGAGAGATGAGGGGCTCACCTGATTCGCTGCTCCCACCTCAAGCCGGTGTTCGCCAGGATGGCCTGCAAAAAAACAGACATGGTCATTATACAGGTAAGAGTAAGAGTAAGAGTGAGAGTGAGAGTGAGAGTGAAAGTGAGAGTGAGAGTGAGAGTGAGAGTAAGAACATTCTGATGATCTTCCAAAAGCGTAAGACGGCAGCTCTCTATCATGGCTTTCGCAAGCCGCCGTCCTTCTTGACATAGATGGCTCTCTCCCCTCCCTTCCGAATCCATGCCTCAGGCAATCTCAGGTTTCCCAATTGGACAAAGCTGGTTGCGAAAAAAAGGAAGCAAAAAGGACGTGACAGATGCACACTCAAGGCAAAGTTTTCCCTCTCGTCGCTCTTTATCCAACTACCAGAGTCCAGTCGCCATGAACTCCGGACGCGAAACTCTCTGGTCGCCACCTCAGGACTCGAGAACTGCTGTGAAACGAGCTTCCCACACGAACAGCACCCAAAAAAAAAGCTCGAAAAGCCGCTGACCACAGAAATTCCCTGGGTGCTCTCCGAGTCCTTGGCCGGTGTCTAGCTCGTGGAGCAGCTCCTTTATCTCTTTGATGTTGAAGGATGGGCTCAAGACCCGAAAGACCCGGGACATCCTCGGCAGTCTCATGCAGAGTCAAGAAGAAACCTCGTGGGGTATGACTAGTACCAGTAGTGCTGCTTTTTTAATAGCTCTTGCCCATTCTTACGACTATTACTAATGGAACTGGTATTCAGCAGCTACTGCTACGTACCGACGACGAGGACGGGGACGGGGACGGGGACGAGGACGAGGCCGAGGACGAGGACGAGGAGTATACGAGAATTATTATTATCACCACGCGCAAAGGAGAACCCGATGGGAGAGTTGTTTTCTGCATGAGCTTGAAGCCACTGAGTGGCTGCAAGCCACAAACGCTCTCTCACCATTGGGTTTGTAGTAAGATTAGAGTACTGGAACCGACGTAAAACATTACTGTCTTTTTTCCCCCCGTCATTTCCCGAGCAGAGCAGGGGGGAGGGGGGGGGGGGGGCCCCTAAAAACCCTAAACCCTGGCGGGGGCATGGTGGAGGTATCAGCCGGGTACTGTGGCCACCCCCGAAAATGCGCTCGTGCCCATCTCTCGCACGCCTCTACTCGTGGGCCTAAACCCTCAACCCTAAACCCGCAACCCTCAACCCCAAACCCTAAACCCGCAACCAAAAACCCCACAAAAAAAATGAAAATAAACCTGGGAGTACGACTCACTTGACGTCTTGCAGCTTGGCGGCTCTTCGAGGTCCAAGTTCCCATTGCCGTCCTATCGGAACTGCACAAATCAGGGTTTAGGGTTTAGGGTTTAAGGTTAGGGTTTAGGGTTCCAGCTCTGATCCACCCACAAACAAGCCTTACCCGAATATGGAGGGTTTAGGGTTTGGGGCTCAGGGTTCCTTACCTTCTTTAAAGGGTTCTGATGTACGGGCCTTCGGGTTGTACAGGATAGATAAGGGGGATTTAAGGGGTCCCCTTTTAAGGGCCCCATATTAAGGGACCGTGTAACTACCCTAAGAGTAAACCCAAATCAGACAAGTCCGCGCTGTGCCGCCACTGACGCACCCCCAAACAAAGTCTACTACCCACTGCTGCCGCTGTTCTCACTAATTTGCACAGCTGACCACCCTAAACCCTAAACCCTAACCCTAAACCCTAAACCCTAAACCCTAAACCCTAAACCCTAAACCCTAAACCCTAAACCCTAAACCCTAAACCCTAAACCCTAAACCCTAAACCCTAAACCCTAAACCCTAACCCTAAACCCTAAACCCTCCTTGTCAAAGCGGCGGAAGACCTGTCAGTCAGTCTCTACGGTGGGGGCTTCGGCACGGGATGGTCTTTGACAGGGCTTAGGGCTTCGAGCTCAGGACGTGGGGGCATCGATGAAAACGAGTTTGAAGCTTCTTTCGTATCATTTTAAGTTTTAGGAATACTTATAAATATATATATATATATATATACATGTATATATGTATATTTGTAACTCGTGCATATCATAACGATAACAGATCATGCCATACGAAGATTCTCTATGATGATGTTGATCAGTGTAACCTTGCGATCGAGAGGATGATTGGGGGGGGGGTCATGATCGGGAGACAGTACTCATCTTGGGGCAAGCTTCCACGCTGACAACAAATTTGCGAACAAGAAAACCACGATTGCTGGGGCCCGTTCGCGCCCCACAACCCAAATCCCAAAACCGAAAATACGAAACACAAACCACAAAAACCCCAAACACAAAACACTAAACCCTAAACCCTGAACCCTAAACCCTGAACCCTAAACCCTGAACCTAAACCCTGAACCCTAAACTGGCGAGAGCGCCGCAAACCATACTACCATGGGTTAGAAGTACAGTTATATGTATTTCCCATGCCCAGGCCCAGGACCGAATCTACGGGGCCTGAGCGAGGCCTGCCAGGGGCCTCCCATAGAGCCTCCTAAGAGGGTTTAGGGTTTAGGGTTTAGGGTTTAGGGCTTAGGGCTTAGGGCTTAGGGCTTAGGGCTTAGGGCTTAGGGCTTAGGGCTTAGGGCTTAGGGCTTAGGGCTTAGGGCAGGGCTTAGGGTTCTTGACGGCCAGCAGCACCAGAATCTGCAAAAGCAATTAAGAACACCTCTGGCGTTGTTCCCGAATCTACAATGGCCTGAATCCTAGACCCTGAGCCCCAAACCCCAAATTCCAAACCCAAACCCTGAACCCCCAAACCCCAAACCCTAAACCCTAAACCCGAAAAACCCCACACTCCTAAACCCCAAACTCCTAAACCCCAAACCCCAACCCTCAACCCCTCCTTGGGCCCTCTTTGTGGCCTAAACCCTAAACCCTAAACCCCAAACCCTAAACCCTAAACCCTAAACCCTAAACCCCAAACCCTAAACCCTAAACCCTAAACCCCAAACCCTAAACCCTAAACCCTAAACCCCAAACCCCAAACCCTAAACCCTAAACCCTCTTTGTGGCACCTCGCGGAGCCGCGCGGAGACGGAGGAGCCGGTCTCCGCGATGATGATCCGGCCTTGGAGGGAAGAAAAGCGGAGGGTTTTTCGGGGGCGTTAGGGTTTAGGGTTTAGGGTTTAGGGTTTAGGGTTTAGGGTTTAGGGTTTAGGGTTTAGGGTTGAGGGTTGAGGGTTTATAAGATGGAAGAAAAGCGGAGGGTTTTTAGAGGATTTAGGGTTTATAAGATGTAGGTTTATAAGTTTGGGCTTAGGGTTTAGGGTTTAGGGTTGAGGGTTTAGGGTCTAGGGTCTAGGGTCTAGGGTCTAGGGTCTAGGGTTCAGGGTTCAGGGTTCAGGGTTCAGGGTTCAGGGTTCAGGGTTTAGGGTTTAGGGTTTAGGGTTTAGGGTTTAGGGTTTAGGGTTTAGGGTTTAGGGTTTAGGGTTTAGGGTTTAGATGGGTTTTGGGTTTTGGGTTGAGGGTTTAGATGGGTTTTGGGTTTCGGGTTTCGAGGGTTTAGGATTTAGATGGGTTTTGGGCTTTGGGTTTCGGGGGTTTAGGGTTCAGAGGGTCTAGGGGGTTTAGGGGGTCTAGGGGGTTTAGGGGGTCTGGGGGGTCCAGGGGGTTTAGGGGGTTTACGGGGCTTACACGGGGTTTAGGAGGCTTAGGGTTTAGGGTTTGTGGTTCAGAGGGTTTAGGCTGAAGAGGGTTTTGGGTTCGTGGCTCAAAGTTTCACGCTTCAGAGGGTTTAGGGTTCCTACCTTAAGCTGCAGAGTTTGGGCTTCAGAGGGTTTAGGGTTCAGGCTTCAGAGGGTCTAGGGTGTAGGGTTGGGATGCTCCCCCTTCTATACCCCCTAGAATAACCCTTCTTAAGAACTTGTAGCATAAGGTCCAACATCCCAAGTTCCGGGTTCAGAGGGTTTAGGGTTTAGGGCTTAGGGTTTAGGGTTTAGGGTTTAGGGTTTAGGGCTTAGGGTTCAGGGCTTAGGATACTTGATCGTTTGACCTACAAACTGACTACGCCGGAGATCACGCGCAGATCACCGTGGACGTGGACGATGCCATCTCAACCCCCCGGCGCTCCCCCCTCCTAAAAAAAATATACAGAATATAAAACACCTAAACCCTAAACCCTACACCCTAACCCCCCCCTAAAACAAAAAAACAATAATAATAGTAATAATAATGATGATAATAATAATAATCGAACACCTTAACGCGAAGCCTAAACCTGAAACCCTACTACACCCTTAACCCTCCACCCCCCCCCCCTCCCCAAACCCTAAACCCTAAACCCTAAACCCCAAACCCTAAACCCTAACCCCTCAACCCTAAACCCTAAACCCTCAACCCTACACC